GACATCCTTAGCTAATCTTAACCAGAACAAATAAAAGAAAACACTCAAATAAAAAGTCACAATAGACACTGCCAAAATTCAGAATATTATTAATAAGTTATTTGAAAAGTTGTATTACAATAAATTGGAAAATTTAGAATAGATTCCTAGATACATGTGAATTAGCAAAACTAAACCAAGAAGATATAAAAACCCTGAATAATTCAATAACAGACAATGAAATTGAAGAAGTGATAGAAAAAATAGAAAAATCTACCAACTAAGAGAAACCAAGGACCTCATGGATTTTTTGTTGAATTCTACAAGAACTTTGGGGGAAATCTAATCCCAGCATTCCTCAAACTCTATAGTGAAACTGAAATGCTAGAAGTATTCTCAAAATCATTTCCTAGAGGGCCAGGGATTTAGCTCAGTGGTTCTGCCGCCTGCCTCACAAGCACAAGGACCTGAGTTCAATTCCTGGTACCAAAAAAAAATGATTGAGAGGTGCTGAGGATTTAGCTCAGTGGTGCCACTGCCTGTCTCGAAGGAGCCAGGTCCTGAGTTGGATCTCTGGTATGCCCCCCAAATTGAGCTATGTACATGTAGCAACTGCCTGTGTTACGTACATGTTGCAGCTGCCTGTGGGGAATGTAATCATTATATACTGAACATATGTACACCATATACTACACATATGTAATTAAGAAATAACTATAAACAAACAAAACAAAAGAAAAAACCCAAGTACCCAAAACCAATGAATAAGAAATTAGTCCAAAAAACATTCCTCTCTATTTTGAATGAGTACTTTTTTACAGTATCTAATGTCCTGAAAACCAGCAAGATATGGTTTTCTCCACCTAGCTTTAGGAACTGCAGGTTTGTGAGTGCCCCCTGGCTCCACAAGCCTCTCTATGTCCTAGACTGCTGTGACTATTCGAGCCAAAGTGTGTCCTTGCTCACATTGATACATGGTGAAAGCAATCAGACCACTGATGTCTCTACTGAATGTAGGTAGTGGGACCAGGGGTTCAAGCAGACTGCTGGACTTACTGCCAGTATCTTCAGATCCAGCCTCCTCTTTAACCCACACTTGCCACGTCTACATTCTCACCATGGAGGTCAAGGCCCCGTATCCTTCGTGGCTTGAATTTAAACTTGTCAGGTGCTCTACATCTAGCCTGTACCATCTCTACTACTGTCTCTTGTGGCTCTCACCTTGTCACTGTTGTTAGGTAACACTGGAAACCCTGAAGTGAAGTTATTCTGTTGTTCTGTATTTCAGTCTTAAACAATTAACCTTTTCCCAAAATGGATCCTGATCAAACTCTCTGAAATACGGTGAGAACTGCACTGGATTTTTTCTCCAATGCTAACCTGTTGTGAGAAGGAGTCACTTTTGGAGTAAAACCCTATGCTGGTTTTGCATTTTACAATCACTCTGGGCTTTTCTTGGAGCTAGTGCTGCCGGTCTGGTTTGGTCTTCTCCCTGGTGCTGCCAGGCTTACCTTCTTGTCCTGGGCATTAGTTTCATCTATGATCAGGTTAGTCAGTTGTTCCATTGGCACATCTGCTGCCCCCCCCCCAAGAGGAAATAAAATGCCAAAAAAACTTAGGGCAGGCTCAGAGTGGGCCAGTGGCCATCACTAAGTCTTGAAATACACCCTCCCCCAACATCTTCAATTTTTTGTTTTGTTTTTTGAGACAGGGTGGTCTTGAAGTTGTGGCAATCCTCCTGCCACAATACACCTTTAAATTTTAGTTAGAAATTCCCTTTCGTCCTGGCTTCCAGTAAGAGGAGTTTCTAGCCCCACATACTTCCACCTCGGGGCTAACTGGTGTGAGTCACCTCTTTACTCCAAATTACTTAGGTTATCTTAAAGACAAATTTGGGGCTGTAGAAGATGGAGTATGTTTATTTCTTTGCAAAGGTAAATATATTTTCCTCAAATTATGGCTATTTCTATGAAATTCTCAGCTTCAAGAAATTAGTAAAATAGGGCCGGGGAATCCAGCTCAGTGATTCAGGCACCTGCTTCGCAAGGGTAAGGACCCGAGTTTGATCCTTGGTACCAAAAAAAAAAAAAATTATCAAAAGTCCCAAGGAGAGTAGCAGTTTGTTTCTTAGTAACTATAGTTCATTGGAAGACCTCTAAGCAAGTCAATACTTACTAGAAAAACAGATTCAGTGCAAGACATACAAGTATATGAGAATTTATAAGATTTGCTTACAAGGCCTGCCCAGAGTCAGGTGTGGAAAAGTGCAAAAGGGCTGTCTTCGCAGTGGAGATCCAAAGACTCCAATTGAAGGCCATGCAGGTCTGTGTCAGGAGGCCAAGAGCCATCCAGAATGGGTCCTCTGTCCTCAGTACACCCAGAGCTGTGTGTATCCAATTTAGTTAGGTGTTTCTTACTCAAGTTGACACAGTTAACCATCACACATACTTACAAGTAAATAATATTTAAAAATACTGAATGTACAAATAACTGGCAAAGACAGCTTCCGAAATTATGTAAATATAATTTTAGGGAGTCAGGGATTTAGCTCCATATTAGTGCAGTTGCCTAGCATGTATGACAATCTAGATTCAATTCCCAGCATTGCCAGCAACCAACCAACCAAAACAACATGAGTGGTGGTGTGGCCTATGGTGCCTTTTTCTACTTCTGTATTCAATCCTTGGCATGAAATCACAGATTTCCCAGTGAATCCATGTATACCGTCTACAGTATGTTCTCAGAAGCAAATACAGCTAGCTGGGCATGGTGGCACACACCTATAATTCCAGCACTCAGGAGGCTGAGGCAGGAGGATTGCTGTGAGTTCAAGACCAGCCTGGGCTACATAGTTCCAGGTCAGTCTCAACTACATAGTGAGACACTGTCTCAAAAAAACCAAAAAAAAAAAAAAAAGAAGAAGCAAATGCACTGTTATAACTAGAGGCTATGGATCCAAATGTTGAATAGTTCACAAAAGTAGAACAGCAAATGAGTGAACTTTTACAATGGTATCGTGAAGTTCATGAAGCAAAAAAGCACTTTTTGAAAACTCCAGACTTCTACTACCAGTTTTTCCATTTCTATTTCGTCGTCTCCCTTACCCAGGCCTTCTACATCTCCTGACCCTAACGCTGATGCCACTGATGAGGACGGTGAAGGATTCAATGACTAAAATGTTAGCTTGAATGTCTTTTTTTTTTGCTACACTTTTGTACATCTTGTTTATGGAACTTCAGTCTTTTTTTTGGTACAGTACATCTTGTTTATACAGTCCTGTAATTTTTACTGACTATTGTACAATACAGTACTATAGTTTTATGCTGTTATACGTTATAGTACTCCATTAAGAGTTATGCCAATTTTTAAAAGTCATCAAGTTGGAGTTTCCTGTGACCATTTCCTTATTCTGAATATTGTAACATATCTGCAATTCCTCATTCAGCGACCCATTCATTTAATAACTTTGCCTCAGGAGTGGAACTCTGTCATTAAGCAAGGAATGTCTGTATGATAAAAAATACATTAATGGTAATGACTTTATGATAATTTAAATTTTGATATACTCCATACACCAGTAGAAGACATTTTTTCCCCTAACACATTAGGGAAGAAATTAATACAATGTATTATGATACCTAGTATTATGAACAGTTAGCAGGTTAAGGTAAATTGATAGAATTTTTAAATCAGATTTTTATTGTAGTTGATATTCCCCTGATAATGATTGTGTGTGTGTGTGTGTGTATTTTTAAAATAGTCAAAATATTTTCTACCCAGTATCAATACAATACCTGGGGAAAGGAACATCTTTTAAGCCACTGGACAGTTTGTTTCAACATCTGAGGAAACCAGACTATTTTATTAATCTTGTAATAGGATTTTCCCTAGTGTGTTCTTTATGCCTACTGTCTGTTTTTCAGAAATGAGGTGAAGGGCGTAAAATTTGAGATCATTACAATCTTGAAACGTGGTATTCTATATTTAAGAGGGTGAAGCATAAGATTTAGAAGATAAGTCTGGTATAAGACTGGGACAGAGCTGAAATGTGTAGAAATAGTCTTTACACCTGAGAAAACATTGTGTAAAGTGAAGGAAGTAAGCAAAATTTCTCAAGTTTTATTCAACAGAAATCTCAAAAAGCTCAATACATAACTAACTGAAATGCCTCTGCCTCAGGAAATAAGAGGAAGGGGATTGGGAAAGTTGAATCAGTTGAACATAAAAAGCAGAAAGCATTAGCTTATGGATTTGGTAATTGTAATAGTGCTTTTTTGCTCAAACCACTAAATGATTTTATTGCCTGTGTGACAATAATTTGACCTTGACTCGGAGATATTTGATGATGGTACAATATTGTCGTTTTTCATGTTTATTGGAAAAACAGAGGCTCTAGCAGTGATTTTTGATTGTGGGCTTTTGAGCTAGATCATCTACATCAGGTCCTGGCTTCATGACTGCCTGTGTGACTTCAGCCAAGATGCTTACCCTCTCTTCACCTCACTTTTATTCTGTGTAAAGACAGGAGTAAGGTATAATAGTTTGATATTATGCAGTAGTAGTACACCTAAACGACAGAGCTATCAAGACTCAGTACAGCTGAGTTGTGTTTTACATAGTGCTAAATAACAGCTTCAGGCTCTGACTTGGAACCTGGGCAAAAAACAGTAGAGGGTGGGGGATTTAGCTCAGTGGTGCCACAGCCTGCCTCACAAGCGCAACGTTCTGAGTTTAATTCCCAGTACCGGGAGAAAAAAAAAAAGATTATCAAAAGCAATAGAAATAACTAAGAAAGCAGTTATGTTAATAAAGCACTAGCCTCTGCAAGAATAGTAGGAGCGGGCATCCTGTGTAATTATATTTTTAAGCCAAACTGCCCTTGTCTTATAGAAAACTGAAAATGAAACCTTTGAAGACTTGCAATCTGGCCACAGCTCTAAAGAGTTCTCCTTCAACATATTACATATTCTGCTTTGATCCTGGTTTTCTCTGTCCTCATTTACACTGGACCTGTTGCTTTGGACAGCAAAGAATACAACAGCAAAGAAATACGACAGAGGTGCACAAGGCCACAGAAGCCAGCCAGATGTCAGAAGTTATGCTGCCCCATCATCATTCTCGGACATGTGGTTTCTGTTGTTGTAGCCCTTGGTTTTGTTCAGTGGTTGTTTGCTACTGTTAAGTTGGAGTGGAACCTGCGTGTGAGGAACTTTTGTGTCTGTGGGCACAAAGAAAGGAGAAATAGTCTTGTTATATGGATATTTGACGAAGTTGGCACTTGGTGACACCATATTTGCCTTGCTGGTAATGGAGTCATTCAGGGAAATGAATCTTGCCGCCAAATCTGTCGCTAATTCCTTGAGATATCTGCTACGGTTTGTGTTTACAACAAAATCTTCAGGTGTGGTTGATGACAGAGCCTCTACTGAGGGCAGCACATGATGTATTTTGGTGGCTTGTTTCATATCATATAAATTCATAGCTTTTAGAATCTTCAATTTGTCCCACTTAGCAGAATGGGTATTTAGATATGTAGAAGGTGATTGCCCAAAAACCAGCAAATCTGGATCTATACCTAAAAGGCAAATAAGATAGCATTCATTTTATTTTTAATTTCAAAAGGAAAACCTGAGGCACAGTTTGAAGAAATATGAGTTTTGCCACTATGAGTTATTGAACTAAATTCAAGTTCTACCAGTGAAAATTTCTGAAAGCTTTAGAAATATACTGGAATCTATAAAAAGGAAGGAAGAAGAAAGGGAGGGAGGGAAAGAAAGAAGAAGGAAGGAAGGAAGGAAGGAAGGAAGGAAGGAAGGAAGGAAGGAAGGAAGGAAGGAAGGAAGGAAGGGGTAAAGCAAGGTGGGCTACATTTGAATTTATCTTAACTTCCTAGGATACTTTCTGCTGTAAAAAATTGGATGCCATCCAAGAGGACTGTGAGTGTACCAGGCCCCTGCACAGCAATCCTGAATGTTAGTGTAAGAAATGTACAAGCAGTCACCATGTGAGATACAATACAACTTTAAAACAAAGTTGAATAAGTGAGCCTGAAAAGGTAAACTAATCAATCTTGAGCAAAGCCTTAAACTTCATCTTTTTCCAATCCCCAAGAGTCCTACTTTGTTTTAGTATTTTGATCACTTTTTCATCTCATTTTGTTTTGAGACAAAGTTGCACTGAGTAACCCTGATTGGCCTCCAATGCAAAAATCCATCTTCCTCAGCACCCAAGTTTGATTATTTTCTGTACCTCTGTACTCACCCTTTTCCCCAGACTTCAGACAAGCCACAGAACTGCTTTGTGTTGAGGGAAAAAAAGCTCTGAACAGCTTTCCAGTGATTCCTCTTAGCAAAGAGTCAGTCATTCTTATTCTCTGGGAAAGCATGCCAGCATTCATTCCTTTCTGCCTTTGCCTCTGTAATCTTGCACTGGCTTTTGCATAGAGGCATTATCACACATTTTTGCATTTATATGTTTTACACTAATTATAAGAGTTGTCATATCAATGAGATTATAAGGAACATGAGGGCAGAGATGTGGCTGCAATCTTCCACAATGTCGAGTCCAGCCTGGAACATTCAGTATTCAGTGAACACAAATCAACAAAGACATTTATCTCCTTTGTATTTGATGGCAAGTCTGTGTATATGATGGCAAGTCACAATGTGCATTCTGAGATTGTGTACATGGGCAAAAACCACTTAAACATGTATCTTTTTTCTAGAATAAAACACACTGGTTATATTAGGACCAGTGAGATGCTGATATATATTTATATATCTCCAGGGTAAGTTTACTGGTCCTTGACTTCCATCTTTGAAGAAGCTGTGTATGCCAAATGCACAGATCTCAAAATTACAACTTAATGTTTTCTTTATTTTGTGGTGACACCCTGGGCCAGTGCAGTAGAAATGCCTGTGTTGGCTTTTGCTGACTGCTCATGAAATAATGAAGTTCAGTGCTTCAGCTCTTACTCAGTTGCATCTAATTGCTGTCCTCTGGAATGAACTCATCACTGTGGAATGTGCCATGCTAAAGGGAATTTCCTTTCACTTTTCTAACCTGGACGACCAAACCATTTCCTGACAGAGGTCACTGGAAGAGCTCTGAGGGACACATACAGAAATGTTGCCAGCCAGTTTCTAGGCTGTATTCCTCTCTAGAGTACTACCAACACTCTTCGGAAGCCCTGGAATGCATCATCTTACCATCTGTTATGTTGTACAAAATGGCACTGGTTCCAGGCTCCAGTATGCAGCTCTCTAGTGCTGGGCAGTGGACGTGGAGGCAGTTGACACTGTCGTGAATTGGGTCATGAAAGAAGACAGCCAAGTTACAGGACACTGGAAAGGAGAGAGGCAAAGAACCATGGCAGGTGATCTTGAGTTTTACCAGTCTGAGAAGCACTGAGCAACCTACATTTCTTTCAGGAACACTGGATTTACCCTATCTTGCTAGAATGTATGTAGACATTTTACAAAACAGTACAATAACAAAATATTTTTGACTTTTTTTTTGTACAGGGGCTCAAACTCGGGCCCTTGTGTTTTTGAGGCAGGTGGTGAAACCACTGAGCCAAATCACCGGCCATAACATAATATTTTAAAAATCACTATTTTATTTAACAGTGCAAAACATTTATTTGAAATGAGTATGGGAGAAACCAGTTCTGCAAGGCAAACGGGTCAAACAAAGAGAAGAGGGTAAAAGCAAAAGTGAAAGTACACACCAGGTATGAGGAACACAGTGTGGGCTAGGGTTCCAACTCAGACACACTAGCCCAACATCACTTTTGTAAACAAAAAGCCTCTGCTGGGAGACTTCACATTCCTGTAATTCCAGCACTCAGGAGGCTGATCCAGGAGGATCATAAGTTTGAGGCCAGCCTGAGCAATTTAGTAAAGACTCTATCTCAAAATAAAATTTTTAAAAGGCTGGGGATTTGGTACAGTGCTCTCTGTTTAATCCCCAGTACTAGAAAAGAGAAAAAAGGAAAGGAAAAGAAAGCAGTTAGTGATTTTCCCTGAATAATCTTTCATGCATTCCCTTCCACAAAGCATATGCAGAATCATTTTCTACTCCCAGTATTTTACATTCATGAAAATATTGACTAAAGGAACCTTCTGAGATTGAGACCTCAGATTTCTCATGCAGTGTGCTCTCAGAATGCTAGGGTTCTGGAGGCCCACCAGAGGATGAAATGGGAAAATAGAGGGCAGCTGTTGTAATGACATCAGGAATGATGGGAAGAACAAGAGAGGCAGTGATGGGAGAAGTCCGGTGCCACCACACAACACACACTGGCCCTGAGTGCAAAACCTCATCCCACAGAAAGCCAGCCCAGGGTCACTGAAGGAGGTGGGCAGTGACCGGTAAAGGATGTTACTGTGGAATTCTAGCACTGGCTCATGTGGTCTCCCCTTTTCTAGGCAGATTTGCTTCTTAAAGCATATTGTTATTTCTGGAGTATCTGAAGTCAAATTTGTTCATGCAAATCTTCGATCTATCCTCCCTAAAAAGCAACACAACTTTATGCCTGCGGCTTGTAGTCAGAAGCATACAATGTATCCATCCATAGGCCAAAGGTAATCAGGTCATTTACTAAAGTAGGATTAGAGAGGGACTGAGTGATTAGCAGACCCCGTGAGCATGGGCCAATGGCTGTGAAACTAGGACTGCACAGCCTGTCCTGTGCTGGCATCCGGGTGACTGTGGGGAGCTGCATCTCCACCGTTCATTCTGGGGCAACCCCAGATTTCTACATTCTTAATTTTTCCAGAAGGAGTGTGGCATATGACTGTAGTCTCAGCTCTTTGGTGTCTGAGGCAGGAGGATCACTGTGAGTTCAAGGCCAGCCTGAATTACATAGTGTGACCCTGTCTCAAAAAAATTAATTTTTCCAGAAGGAAAAAGAATAGGACAAAGGTTAATTAATAGTACAGTGCTGTCAGGTGTGGTGGCCCTTACTTGTAATACCATCTACCTGAGGCAGGACAATTGCAAATTTGAGGCTGGCCTGGCTGGGCAACTTAACAAAACAAAACAAAGCCAGCTGGGATAGAGCTCAAAGGTTCAATCTTAATGACACAAATAACACAACAACAAAAGCATTGATAATACATTACAGGTTACAAATATAGTTTCTGAGGACTATGCTATAAAATTTTAAGGTAAAGAAAATTTAAAAATAAGTTCAAGATATTTGAATCTATGCTAAGAAAGTAGTTGATACTGTAAAGAACAGTTTGTTTTGCTTTGCAACAGGGTCTCACCATATAGCCCAGACTGGTCGTGAACTCATGGTTTTCCTGCTTGGTCTCCTTAGTGACAGGATTACAGGAACCTGGTACCCCTTAAGCATACTGAGTTCCAACTCTGAGCAAGATTGTGCAGTTTAAAATTCTGGCAGCCAGATAAAAACAGGGATGTCCCTCTTCCCCTTTCCTGTTGTGAAGGAAGAAAGCCACAGGGAGCCATTAGAGGCCCAGAGATCACAAACTTTTAAAGATGTTTATAGCAGCCCTGAAAAACCAGAGACCATCGGCCTCTCTGGTGTGGAGAGTCAGGGATAGTCAGAAAAAGTACTGCCCTTCCTACACCTACCCCAGTGAAGACTTGCTGAGATTAGACATCTGGAAAGTGGAAATCTGGATCTCTATCTTTTCAAAAAGATTCCCTGCTGTTAAATTAATCTCTGTCTTTGTGCCTAACTGTTGAGCGCTTAGCCTGTGGCAGCTCCTCACAGTGTGGTCCCTTGACAATTTGGTTCTCTCTCCAGGTAGCTCCAAGTTTCATCTCAGAAACTGTAAATGTGTAATTGGATAAGAGGCATTGGAGATTAACAAGTTGGTATCAAATCATAATAAAAAGGTGTGAACCAAGCAAGACAATTACTTTAAAATGCTATGTTGTTTTTGTGTCTTTCCAAATTGTTTTTAAAATCATGGGAAAAATGAAAAAATAAGTATTTAGGCAATTATGACTTGAAATTCTGCAGCATTGAAAAGCTTTCCTAGTTGAAAGCCTTGATTATATTATATGGGTGGTGTTTTCACCTAGATTCCAAGTTACAGAAAAGAATCTATTAGAAAAATTCAAAAAATGTGATTAATAAAAATCTGCTACTTTATGTATAATTCTGTATGTTTCAAAATATGACTCACAGTCTAAGTTCCTGTTCAGTACTTCCCACATTTTTGAAATCATACATATAGCATTTTGGGCTACAAAAAATATTCTGCGTTAGCTCTGGGGAAAATGTTTTCATTTCACACTCTTGTGCAGAAAAGAATATTCTGTTTCCTGAGGGTTTTGTAGCATTCTGGACATTACCAGACTTTAAGTAGAGCTGTCTCTAGTCCACCCTGTGGCTGCCTCAGTGGTCCGCTCTTCTTCCCTCATCCCCAGGCCTCCCACTAACTTCTGCCCAGGGCTCCTCGCTGGGTCTTCGCTATCCACCGACCTGTGCTCCAGGGTGTCATTAGTTCTTACCATCTTTCCTGAGACAGCAGCTCCTACTACACTTCTGGCCAGTGCTCTCAGAATAGTATTTCAAGAGCTGTGCTCCCAGCTTCTGAGACTCCTCCAGGTCAACAAGGAGACCCGGGAAGCGTCGGATCCAGCAGTCTCTGTAAAACACAGTGGGTGAGCAGAGAGATTCAGACCTCCAGCCCATGCTGAGGAGCAGGATCACATCGGTTGCAATGGCCGCCACCTGCATTGCACTGGTGTGAAGGGGAACTGGAAGACAGAAGTTGAAGCTGACTGCCAGAGTTCAGCATTTAGGGCAGTCTGGAGAGCTGAGGGCTTTTGCTAAGGGAAAGCAGCCTTGGGGCTTTTCTAGACAGTCACTGGTAGAAAATTGAGGCCAGTCTTTTGTTGCATGCTGATTTCTCTTTTGTGTCTCTATGACAGAGTCACCAGTGAACACTGGACTTGCCACCCTTCTTTCTAGCTTGCCAGGATATTTCACTGCTGCCCTTGGGCCTCTTGAAGAGTAGATTTTCTTCTCTGTTTTTCTTCTTTCTTCAAAGGTAAAGAGTCACAGACACCTTTCATTAAGGGAAAATAAAGACAAGTCGAAATCTGAGTCAAGAGTCTTGCTGAGTAGAACACTAATTCAGTCTTTTGACAGTAGATAAAGAAAGGATCCATTTCACTGGGAACAAGACATTGTTTTGTGAGGTCTTCTCTATGGTTTTCAAGGAATTTATGACTGCAGATTTTTTTTTTTTTTAGTCAGTTCTTTAATTCTTTGAATTTAAGTCCTGGTGTTCAGGTTCACTAGAAAATTGGTCCATGTGCTGGTTTAAATTCTTTAAGTTTATCTTTAAAAAAACTGAAAGACATCAAAAATGAAAATAAATTTTAAATTTTAAATTTAATCATGTAGTAACTGCAAACCATTAGATATTGATCCTGATCACTTTTTGAGGTCCAGTATTTTTGTAAAGTTCAGTCACAACTTTCTGTTGAAAAGTAGAACTAAAAATCTGGAAAAAAATGTGTATAACATAAATGGAATACAGTACTCACTAAAATGTATAATACTTAGCCAAGAATAAGTATAATTTACAGTGAACATTGTGAAGAGGTTTAAGAAAGGGATTGCCTGTTTTCTGATGTTCACATCTGCAAATTATCCAGAAGTCTTATTTATGAAGTGCACACAGAAAAGCGCAATGTCTCTGGCACAATGTAGAGTTGCTACAGAAAGTGACTTAGGGAAATGGTGAAATGGATTTATGTTCTAAATAGTAATAATAATAACAATAGTAACTTCAGCTGCAATGCAAAACATTACAAAAGGCAGTGAAAATAGTCCCTTGATTTTATGGCCATGGTGAGTTCCTTATTCCATGTTATCCAAGATAACAAATTAGTTTATGTATTTATTGGGCCAGGGATGTAGGTCAGTGGCACTGTGCCTGCCGTGAAAGCATAAGGTCCTGAGTTCAATCCCTGGTACCCCCCCAAAAAAAAGTTATGTATTTATTTATTTTCATATTACTATTGTGTTCTTGTTTTGATTTTTGAGACAGAGTTTTACTGTGTAGCCCAGGCAGGCTCATACATGGGGAGACCCTCCCAGCTCAGCTTCTCAAGTGCTGGGATTATAGGTGTGCACCACCATGTCCAGCTAACAAATTAGTGTTTCTTTTGTTTTGTTTTGTTTGTTTTTTATTTTTGAGACAGGGTCTCACTATGTAGTTGAGACTGACCTGGAACTCACTATGTAGCCCAGGCTGGCCTGGAACTCACAGTGATCCTCCTGCCTCACCCTCCCGAGTGCTGGGATTACAGACGTGCGCCACTGTGTCTAGCACAAATTAGTTAAAGCATAAAATTGTTTGCTGTTATATATCTGCTTTTATATAAAGCATTAGTGACAATAAGCTTTGAGCATAAAATCCTGCACTGCTTCTTTAAAAACGAAAATTTTCTGAGTCTTTGATCTGTGTTTGTCTCATACCTTTTTGCATAAAGATTCATTTATGTATTTGGCCCCAAATGTTAATATTCTGTTCATTTTCTTCTCCACCCATTTCCTAATTATAAGCAACCTACTTGTTGCATACGTACATTTAATTTTAGAAATGTATAATATTTGAGACTGAATGAAATATATTTTATAAAATATAAAAATATTTAAGACTAGCTTTAAAAAATATTTACTTTCTTCCAAGAAAAAATTATTTCCTGCAGTAACTCCTAACCTTGCAAAGCCATATAATGTATACTAAACTGTCAATAATCTTAGTCTAATAACTTCTTATTTACAAAGAAAGTTTTAGTTGCTTATCTGCAGATAATCCGTCTGTCATGAGATTCCATAGCTTTTCCATTAGAAAATGCCTTCAGGACATAAATTGGAAAATCCCCTTCTAACCTTGTAACCTGCAAGTCTTTTAGTTATAGTAAATGTAGTTTCTTTTGTGTGATGCTTCATTCCATGAAATTCTTATGTTGAAAAGCTGCCAGGTCAGTGGAAGCTGTCACCTTACCCGCCGGGGCTGCTGCTGGCTCTTGAGCCTCAAAGGCGGGGTGATGGTGATGGCCGCCTCGTACCGGGAGGCCTGGTGGCTGCTCAGCTCCACCTGCCGGTAAATCCGGTAAATCATACTGCGCGGGTCGCCCAGTATGAGAGTAAAGACCCCATGGCGACCCAGGCGGGAGGAGGAGAGGAGGCGGTGTCATGGCCCGAGCGGGCATCGGCTGATTCTAACACCAACTCTTCTATGCTGGAAAGTATAAACCGTGGGATATAGTGAGCTTTTCTGATGTGTGCCACTCGAATGAAGAGTATTTCAAGAAACTAGAAGAGCCGGAGGTGGCTCACATAGAGACTATCGCAAAATTCTAGACAATGTACCAGAATAAATTAAATTTAAAGGAAGCTGATCAAGTAACCATTAGGGAAGATATTCCTAGCATCTTCTAGTTCTGTATCGGAAAATCACTCCTGCCACCCTCTCTTGTAAGTGACCTCACTTTCGAGGCCAGGTTTAGGCCAGTCTTCCTCCTTGTGTACTATTTCTTCTTCTGAAGAAGAGCTGCCCAACCTTGGAAAAGAGCATCCCAGGAATAATAAAACGATGGCCTAGGCCGAGGAGCTCATCAGCAACACGTGGACACACGTGTGGGAGATTATATTCAGAGTGAAGATACTGACTTCCAAGTAGCTGAAAAAACAAGGAAGAAACCAAGAGAATGGGTGCCCACAATTACAGTACCTGTGCTTTTTCAAATGATGATTAGAGAACAGAAGAAAAAAGAAAAGGCCATGAAATCTAAATCAGATACCAAAATAGTACATAAACTGCTCAAAAGCAAAGAAGATTCAGAGTGTAAGAAGAAACTCTCAGGTAATCCAGTTCGTATGAGTGTCCTTCTTCCCCTTTGTCATAAGCTTGTTAAGCAAAATGAAGAAAGGAGGAGGGCTAGGAAGGAGAAAAACAAAGAAACTCTGTTGGTCTCACAGAAGACATTTGTATTCATTGTAAGCGAGGAACAGAAGCAAGCAGTCCAGGAAAAGCAACCGAGAGACCTTGTATAAGTCTAAAAAGAAAACCTATCAATTTAAAGCCAGACCCATGCCTTGATTGTTACTAGTGATAAATTAAAAGAAGAGCTCCTTAGAAATATTAGAACTGATAGCCCGGTAGCTTTTACAGAACTCATCTCCTCTGCCTTATAAACCAGGTCACAAACATGTCAGGAACCACAAGGGTCCTGAACAGGCTGGAAAATTACACAATAAACACAAGGCAAGATCCCAGACTCCTGATGTTGAAAACCTTCCTGAGGAGTATAAGAAACACTTCTCAGAACACAAGCATCCCAAACTCTCCACAGTCTGCAGGTCACTTATGTTTGTGCATCCTCAAGTAAATCTGCTGACAGAGAGAATATTTTGGCAGATGAAGAAAATTTGAAAGAAACATGTTGCCCTAGTCTCCAAGGCATGGGTCACCAGTAAGAAGTGCCATTCCAAAGCCCAGGTCTTGTGGCTGCAGACTGCAATGTTATCCAGAGGACGAGAACAAGCCATCAGGAGATCATGGGAGGAAAAGAAAATGTTGGAAGAGAAAGGAATCAGATCTTAGATAGGCAGAAAAAGAGAATAAACAAATTGCAGAAACTTGACAACCCGGGCTAAGGTTTATGACCCACTTCAAAATTAAGCTCAAATATCTAGATCCAAAGTAAAATATTTCTGAAAAGGAAAGTATGAGAGAATACTGACCAGAACTAGAAGAAAGAGAAGAAAAATTAAAAATGAGGCCACTACTATTTGAAAGAGTTTCTCAGAAAAATGTGAGAATAGCAGCATAAAATCATTATTCTAACAGACTAAAAGCACCAGGAATATCTGATGAGTTTGTTTCAAAGGAAGGCAAAAGTGGAAAAATATTTGAGTTTGAGTACTTCAACAATCAAGAGATGAAGAGTTTCACTGAAGATAAAGCTTTAATGAAGAAGAAACAGTAGAAGAGAGACTGGGGAAGAAAATTATTTTATTGATAGCAACAGTCAAGACTCTTTCGAGGATAAAGATGGAGATGATGCACAGTGCAGAGGAGTCTGCTGAGGAATAGAACTGTATCAGCAGAGCCCCTTTTTTTCCTGCCTGCTGCTTGCAGAAGCTGCACCTGTGATGAGAGGCATCTCTGAGATACCTTCTGTCTGTGCAGTGCTGGTGAACCAAGACATTATGCTGGAGAAGGCTGAATCCAGATGATTAGTGATTTGATCACAGTGAGGCTTTTGCTTTTTTTTTTTTTTAATATTTATTTATTTATTTGGTTTTTTGAGACAGAGTGTCAATATGTAGTTGAGACTGCCCTGGAACTCACTACATAGTCCAGGCTTGTCTTGAACTCACAGTGATCCTCCTGCCTCAGCCTCCTGAGTGCTGGGATTATAGATGTGCACTGCCATGCCCGGCTTTTTCCTGTTTTTTAAATTGCATTTATTTGCTACAATGATCTTGTATTTTTTTTTAAGTGTTTGAAAAAAAAAAAGATTTGAGGATCACAGCTATCACAAACTGATTAGTTAAAAAAACAGGTATTTGGTGGTTTACAATTGAGAAGCAAGCTGGGAGTGGTGGTTCATGCCTGTAATCCCAACACTTGGGAAGCTGAGGCAGGAGGATCACTGCAAATTCGAGATCAGCCTGCGCTACACAGTGAGTTCCAGGGCAGTCTGAACTAGATAGTTGAGATAAAAAAAAAAAAAAAAAAAAAAGAATTGAGAAGTGAGCCAGGCGTGGTGGCACAGGCCTATAATCCCAGCACTTGGAAGGCTGAGGCCAGAGGATCACTCAGAGTTCAAGGCCAGCCTGAATTTTATAACTACATAGATCCTGCCTCAACCCTTCCCCACAAAACCCAAACAAATGAAAAAAAGAATTGAGAGAGAAGTATTTGGCCTTTTGTGATTTATCTAAAAATACAATATTGAATAGTTTCTCTGGTGTGAAAAATTAAAATAGTATACAAGCTCCTAATGACATAATTGACAATGTGAAATAGGAAGAAAAGAACTAAAGGTGTAGGGAAAGTGGGAAGGGTGGGGAAAGGGAATAAGGGAAAAATATATGAGAAAATGAAAAAATGGAAATAAAGTGTTTGTAAATGGGGAGGGGAGGAGGGGGTGAAGGGAGGGCAGGGACAAGGGGAAAAAATGAGAACCAAGACCTGTCATGTAAAGGTACAAGATCCCAGTGTTGAATGTAACTGTACTGTATACCTAAAATGTACCA